TCTGCCAAGCCATGATCGATGGCTTCCTCAATGAGCTCGAGAACCTCAACCTCAGCGCGGCATTCCACCTGGAAAGCATTGATGAAGGCCGAGTGGAAGATGATCTTGACTTTGGAATCTTGGACACCATCCAAGATGAACGTGACCTCGCTCCACGACAAGACCTACTACCAGATCATTTGAGTCCTGATGAACTCCAACGACAAGAACAATTGGAAGAATCACCGCTGGCAGCGGGAGAAGAGATGGATCTTGAACGTGAGCGACGTCAGAAGTGGCTCAAAATTCCAAGGCCTACCAGACTGGCACTTAGAAGATTGCACACCGTGACCCGCCACAGCTCTCCGGCAAGCATGGTTCAACTCCAATACCTCTCCGGCCGCGATCGAAGCCTGCCGATCATTTGCTTGTGAAGCCTGTCGCAAGCGACAACCTCTTGAACGACCCAATGTCACCTAGATGCCCAACCGCTACACCTTCAATCATGAGGTGAGCTTGGACTGTCTTGAGATCAAAGACAAAGCTGGCAACCGGCACACCATCCTCTCTGCAGCTGACATCGGCGCCCTCTACCATCAGTGCTGATGGGTTGCAGGAGGAGGAGTTCCCAAGAGCAGCATTTGCGCAGAAGCCTTCATCAACGGATGGATTGCACCGTTCGGACCACCTCAATCCGTGGTCTGTGACAAGGGCATGCGCAACCAAGGGCGAATGAGAGACATGCTGCGCATCCATGGCATCACCGTCCGCTACACTGGGTTCGGAATCTTCAAGGAGCTGATGTATGCCGCCATGGAAGAACGCAACATCATCGGCACCAACAACATCAAGACTCTCATCTCCGAGACCTGCGGAGAAGAACGTGAGGGTGAATCACCAAGGATTTACACCTTACCAATGGGTGTTAGGTAAGCTCTCAGTGGATGAGACTTCCCTCACAAGTGAAGAAGCTGAAGGACGATTCCTCCCAGTCCAAGAAGAAGTTGAAGAGTCCGAAGATAGCTTTGCACTTCGCCTTCAAATCAGGCAAGCAGCCAAAATGGCCTTCAGCAAAGTGGACTCCAGCAGAAGAATCAGGTCAGCCCTCCTGAGAAAGAGCACTCCAGTCTGCACCAACTATGTGCCTGGCAATTTGGTCTGCTTCCAACGACGTGGAAGATGGTGCGCCACCTCGTGTCATTGGCCGTGAAGGCCGAGCAACCTTGTGGTTGATCCACGCTGGAGTACCAGTGGTTGCTTCAGAAACCTCATTGCGCCCCGCCTCAAGCACCGAGATCTACACCAAGAGACTCCTTGAGCTTCGCGCATCAAGGAAGTGCATGAGGGAAGCAATTCAAGAAGAAGAACGCACCTCCACTACCACAACAGGAACAACCGGCTCCAGAACGGCAAACCACCGAGCCAGAAACCGAGATGATTCCAGCAACAATGCCCAATACACCAGTGCAAGCACCGGCCGCAGCACCAACACCACTGCAGGAAGCCATGCACCGCAACCTTGATGCATTGGATGGACGTCCATTCATCAGGCCACCACCTGGCCTAGCTCGTCCCTCTCGAACCGAGAGATCTCGCTCACCAGTGCGAGAAGCACAAAACGTCCCAGCGCCAAGGGATTCAGGAGATGGACAGCTGGCAGTCGGCCAACTCCAGCATGAAGAAGAATGGCACCTCCACTGCACGTTAGCCAAGCGCTTCAATAAGAAGAAGCGACAAGTTGGAGCTGGCGCGGAGATCAACTATGAAAAGGCCAGCCCAGAGATCCGAAAAGCTCTGGACACCACCAGAGGAAAAGAATGGAACAATTGGAAGCAGTTCGACGCAGTCTTTGTCATGCCTCGTGAAGAAAAGGAGAAGTTCCTGGCTGATCACCCAGAAGCTGTGATTCTGCCAACACGTTGGGTGGACGTCAACAAAGCAGAACAACATGAAGAGCCCCGCTGGAAGAGCCGGCTCGTTGCGCGAGGTGACTTAGAGAAGAACAACGACCTCCGCACAGACTCGCCCACAACATCACAGCTCATCCTCCAGATGATCATCAGCCTGCCTGCAGCAACTGGCACTCGACTCCGACCAGGAGACATAAGTGCAGCCTTTCTTCAAGGCACAGGCATCACACGTGTCTTGGCAATGTCATTGCCAAAAGGTGGAATCCCGGACGCGGAAATTCAACCTGGCAGCCTTCTCGTGGCCAAGAAAAGCGTCTACGGGACAAGGGATGCTCCAAGAGGCTTTTGGGAAGCCCTCCATGACACCCTGCTTCGCAACGGCCTGCAGCCTATCTCTCTCGAGACCTCGGCCTACTACCTTCCAGGAGAACAAGGCCAAGTCGCAGGGCTCCTTGGATGTCACGTTGATGACCTGTTATGGGCCGGATCAGAGGCCACGCAAAAGGCCGTGGAAGCCGTCCAAGCTGAATTCAAGTTCGGCCTTGTGGAAAGTTATGAGTTGAAGTACTGTGGACGCATCATCCACCAAGGGAAGGATGGAATCACCATCACATGCCCCAGCGTCCTTGATCGGACCAAGCCGATCTACATCAATCCACAAAGGCGCAAGCAGCTTGGAGAAATGGCCACACCGGCTGAGATCAGCCAACTGCGCTCTGTCGTAGGCAGCCTTAGCTGGCTAGCCAGGGTCTGCCGACCCGACATGAGTTTCCAAGTCAACCAGCTTCAAGCTCGACAGCAATCGGCGCAGGTGAGACACCTCGTGGACGCCAACAAGCTCCTACAAGAGAAGGACAAAGGCATCTACTATGCCAAAGGCGCCATGAAGTTTGAAGAGGCCATCCTGCTGAGCATCAATGATGCCTCCCACGCAGCCAGCGTGGAAGCCATTGGCGACGGTGTTGTCGCTGGTCACCGATCGCAATCCGGGAGGATTCTGGCCATGGCCAATCCGGAGTTCGCCACCGCCGGAGAAGGTCAGATATATCCCCTGGAATGGCACTCCAACACGATCCGTCGTGTTTGGAGGAGCACCCTCGAAGCACAGACAATGTCTCTCCAGCTCGGCTCAGAGGAATCCGAGCATGTGCGCCAAGTCTTCTTCGAGATCAAGAATGAGGCAACAGAGACGCCAAAGAAGGAGCGCTACACGAGGGCAATGCACTCCACATGCAGTCTCTGGCTCACAGACTGCAGAAGCCTGAGCGACCATCTCACCAACACAACAGGTGGAGAAGTCAGCGACAAGCGACTGGCCATCGACTTGACCAGTCTCCGCCAGGAGATCTGGCGCCGGGGCGGAGAATCTGTTGGAAATCCCACCTACACGGACTCCTTGCCCGCCGAGGCCAGCACGCAGATCCGCTGGATCTTGACCAAAACCATGGTCGCTGATGGACTGACCAAGTCCATGAAAGCAGAGCAGCTCGGCCGCTTGATGAAGACTGGCTGGCTCACCGTGGAGTTCCAAGCCACCGTGCCACACCTGTTGAAAAAAGAACGGGTGTGAAAGCAATGGTGGTAAGCAGTTCATGTCATGAGACCAACAGGTCCTTTCATGTGGTGCCTTTTCCCATCACCACGGTTCGACATGTCCAGATGTGTCACGGATCGCCGTGGCTCAAGCCAACCCGCGCACTCGCGCCTGAAAAGGTGTGTTGCTTCGCTGTGTTGCCAGTTTCATAATTGCAGCGGGTGGAGTTGCCGGACTGGAAAAAGGGTACCCCATTTGCGGTGGAAGGAGTTCACGTCGATGAGAGGAAAGGGAAGACAAGGGAACGTGAAAAGCAGTTAGAACTCACCCTATACTTGAGAGCAGGAAAGAGAACAGATTGGCTTGGCGTTGCTCGGGGCTCGGGGGCGCCCTTTTTTAGTTGCCATACTGACGAGGGCACTCAATATGCGATGGCAGTTCACGTGGATGAAGCAGGAAGGTTTTGACTTGCTTGGGAGGTTGTTGAAGGCAGGAGAGAGAACAGATTGCAGCGGGCAAGCGTCGAGTTCAAAACGGCACTCCACATGGGGTGCATGATGCATCTGTTGAGGACAGGAATGGGCAGGAGAGAGACCAGATGGCAGCGGGCAAGCGTTGGAGGCGGAAGGTTTTGAATTGCTCGGGGATCCCCTTGGAAAGGTTGAGTTGCTTGGGGATGCCCTTGGGGTGCCCTTACTTGGGGGTTCCAAGTTGGACAAGTGCAAACTACTTTTTTCTTTCCGGATAGTAGCATGCTTCACTTCCGAAGTAGCTTACTGCTTGCACCTTCATGACCACCACTTCCTCCAATAGTGTTCCTGAGCATGACCACGCCCAATGGTGACCTTGACCTCAATCAGCGATGGTTAATCTCATATTCCCCACTCCAGGTCCAATATCCAAGACTTTCCTTGCTTTGATTAAACCCATTTGCTTCGGGGTGCCCCTTTACCTCCGCAACAGCCCTCCACCAACACGAAAAAGGGCACCCCCCAACCTTGTATTCTACTTTCTCTTTCTACTCCTATGCAAATGTCTGCAATATCCACTTCACTACTTAAAGATACGCTTTGCTGTTCACCAATCACTTCATCTTGCACGCTCAAGGGGCTCTCCCGAAGCCCTGCCGATAACCTCGCCCATCGACCCCCCATAAATAACCATATTTGCTCACTGATGTGCACCACGAAGCAAGCTACCACTCTCACTTCCTCCGAGGGTGCCCTTTTTCACCTCCAAAACGTGCCTGAACCACGACGAAAAAGGGCACGCCCCCCGAACCTGTGTACTAAACTTTCTGTTTCTACCACCTATGAGAGTGGCTGCGATGTCAACTTCACCACTTCCAGCTACTCTTTCTCCACTCTACCCTCTAACACACCCCTGACCTAAAACGAAAACAAGAGCCATGCCTGGAAACGCCAGCCTAACCCTAAGGGCGCCCCCCTTGCCGCAGAGGCTGGCTTTCGTCCCCTCCCTTCTCAGGTATATAATGGTTGTAATCTGGTTTGCTTTGTTTAGCTGAGCCTGTAACTGCAGATCCATCAGTGACTTAAATAGGGACCAATTTAGGAAAACGGGGCCCCACACTTTCTACATGTCAAGCCCGTCGCACCCAGCCCCTTTGCCCATGCTCTGCAAGAGAATCCTTGGACGGTCCTGCGCTGCATGTTTGCTTGCGGCGATTGTCATATGGCACCCTTTTGGCAGAAAAAAATTGTGCTTCACGTGCGTTTTGTCTACGTTCATCTTGTTTGCTCAAGGCTGTCTAGATTATCACTTTCATTTGCCAAGGTATGTCATCCTCTTCAGCGATCAGCTCTTCAGTTCACATCGAGGTGGCATCTGGCGGGCTTACTTTGTTCCAACTCCAGAGATATGGGATTCCATTCATCGTCATGGTGAACGTAGCGCAGGACAGACAATTTTTCACTGAGAGGGGCGTGAAGCAGTTGTGAAACATGTTAACTTCAAGGGTTTGGTTGTTCGAACATTCTGAATTGCGTGTTCGCATGTTTGATTCTTTGCCCGTTAACAGTGGCAGAATCTCTCCTAGTTCGTTTTCCCGTTCAAAAGAAACTAAACGATCTACAGTAAACGAAATGACGCCCCAGGAGGTGTTTGGAATTACAACCAACAGAGAATGGAGCGAAGCGAAGCATTCAAGTACTTGGCAGGAAAGACTCTCTGTGGAAATCAGTTTTCCAAAGTATGATCCAATCCTAACGTTGTCGGGCAGCAAAAAGGTTCAAAACACTTGAACAGAGCCAGTGTCCGAGGATGACAAAGCCATCCAGAAAACAGGAGTATGGTCTTTACGCACCAAACCCTTGCGGATGTTGCATAGATTGAAGTTCCAAGGATAATTCCTGTCCAAAATCCAGCACATTATCAGGGTGCATCCGTTGGTTCCTGACATCATTTGACATCTTTTGCATCTCTTTTATGGTGCACGCACTGGATATCCAGATAGCCAGGTTGTGTTTGATCTACGCAGTTTGTACGGTAGTCGGCAAGGTTGCCCTGAAATTCACAGATGTTTCATTATGTGTTTTAGTTTTGCTCCTTTGTCCTCGGTGTTAGGCTGGTGCAAACATGACGAGTGCTAGAACACCTTGAAAACCATGTGGTCGCTATGTCGCGAGAAATACATGCTTTGAAACAGAAGCAAAAGTGGGCTTGAAATTGTGTGGCAAGGGGCATGAGAGGTTCATACCTTGATTTTTGAAATTGCTTGGAGAAACCTTAACGACCGGGACCGTCCAATGTTACCTTGTTACGTGTAGCACTCGCCCACCAGATCCTTTTTTTTGGGGTCAACCTGGCGGTGCCCAACAAGACATTAGAATCATTGGCGATGTTCCTTCTTCGTGTAGGAGATGTAGAGACAACCTAGCGGATTAATCGCTTGGCCCTCGATAGTTTGGGGTCCAAATGATGCTCACTCAGCCTCATGTTGAATTGCAGAAAGACGCAGAAAGGTCAAAAGGGTCAGAAGTGTTAATCAGTTCTTCCTTTTGCAGATCAATTTCAGCAGTACCAACAAATAAGTAATTGGCCTTCCGTGTATTTATTTTATCTACCTACCTACTTACCTATCTATCGGTCTACAAATTATTTGGGCAGAGAGCTAGACCCACGTGGAGTTTTTAATATCAGTGCAAAGCCATGTCCAAAGAGGAAGAGGAGATGGAAGGCATGGCAAAACTACTCGGTGCTTGGGTCATGGTATGGGTGACAGGGCCTTTGGGTACCTCTCCCACCAGGTCTTTGAAGCCAAAAGAGACGAACCAATAACACCGATCTCCCCAGGTCCAAATGGATGGATTCTTTGCGCCCGAATAGGGTTCGGGCTTGTTGGAGCCGTCTCCAAAGGGCCCAGGCCCTGGAGACTTGTTTGCTTCACTTCACATATTTGTTATACAGTATGTATACTCAAAGTCCCATTCGATGGCTGAAGTATGTTGGGATTGAACACCAGCTGCAGTGGGTTTGACGGCTAGGCTAAGCCCGTCAAAAAATTCTTTTCATTAGGTCTCCAATAATGGGCCCTTCGTAAACAAGTGATGAGAATTTGGGAATGCTACGGGGTTGGGTACAACCCACTGTAATCCACTGTATCCTATCTTCAAGCAAACATGTCAATCCATTCATCGTCAATCCAATCATGGGGACGACCAGTACTCCGGTCACCAGTGATCCAAACATCCCTTGGCAAAAATGGCTGAAACCCTGCATGACCATTTAGCAAGTCTAAGAGGCCCTCAAAGCACAACTCCTCGAACATTAAAAGCAACACATACAAAGGGTATCAACCCTAGAGCCTTCCCCAGCTTGGATGAAAAGGCCCACAACTCCAACCACAGCAACTTCTTTTCAGACCTGACCTCAGTCAGTCGCCAGTCCAAATTGACCGCCCCAATAGGTGCACCGGAGCCCTCCACCGCCGCGACCGCAACCAGCGCTGCGCAGGTGGACTCGACGAAGGAGCCGAAGAGATTGGCACCCATCCCGATGTCGCCCTAAAGGAGGTCGTGGAAAGGACGAGAAGGAGAATGGGAACAAAGCTACGGAAAAGGGAGGGGAAGCGTTTGGGGGAGGAGGTTGGTTAGGTCAGATTGCAGGTGGGATCGAGCAATAGAAGCTTTGTGACTTAAATATACCTTTTTCCAATCACAAGAGGCGTTTTGTGTGTTCTAGGATTCTAGGATTGGATAACTCACCAACACCTCCCATGTGGGGGTCACGTTTCTACATACGAGCACCTTCCGTTTCAAGTCACTCTTCTAGCCTTTATGACCTGAAAACTGCTCGAAGTCCGACCAACACCCAGGTGTCTCTTGCTTCTCCCATGCTCACCACGCCACGTTGTCACCCACGTTGTCCGCAATGGTGGCGGGATTGCCGGGCCTGAAGATTCTTCTCCCAGTCTTCCGAGCCCCAAACCCAGTCTGTGCCAAATTCTTTCGAGTGTGGCAGTGTTTGGTATAGATACATGGCAGTGTCTCTTGTTTGTATTATCAAATGTCAAGGTATGCTGTCACCAACAAAAACCTGTCAGAGGTGAACACCTCAGACTTCAAGTATTGTAATGTGTTTTTTTGGTTATGGCTGTGCTGTTGTCTCTATCTTCCTGCTTTGCTGGTTTGTGTTCACCTACTCTGTGCTATTTACATCTCCTTCAGCACACCAGCTCACTTGAGAGGACTCTAAGTGACACAAGTAGGAGCTGGCCTACTCACCAAAATGAAGAGACGGGTAGATTGATGTGCAGCCAAGTAGGGTGGATTCCTCTCAGTTTTGAAGCTGGGAACGTCAAGCTCGGTCAGAGGGCATGGGCCCTTCTTGTCGTCACCTTTTGGGTCATTTCTTTTGATGGCAGATGTGACGGCCGTCGAGCCGAGTTTTTGCTCATTTTGCATGTCCTGTTCTTTGACTACTGAACCAGATTTTTGGCTTCCAAGTGCGTTTCTGTAATGCCTGCTGTCTTCTTGCGCACCATAATCCGCTTTTCAATTCGTTTGCCAATATGTGGCTCTGCCACAAAGTGTGATGCAGAGCGTTGATTGCGCAGCTTACTTGTTTCGTGTGCATTGGCGAAGTAGCATGATTGCATGTTGTCACAGTCTACATCGCACAGTTCAATCACGAGCGGTGATGGATTACATATATGGTTTAAATTTCTTCAGATTGATTTCGTTTAGAATTGGTAAAACCTTGGAGTCCCGAAGCGGTGGCAGAAGTTTGCACAAAGAAGTAAAGCAGTGATATGATATCGGTTGAACTTGCGAGATATATACACATAGGTACATAGATGGATAGGGTTCAGAACGATGTATGTACAAGCATGAATTGTTGTCCGCTCTTGAGCTTCAGGTCTCTGGAGTGTGCAATGTTTAGGGGCTTCCACCGCATTATGTCAATCATCGGGCAGTTAGAACACCGTCATTATTGGTTGCACCATTGTGCTACTATTCTCGACCCCCACAACAAGAAGCGTTGTAAGCATCCACTGTCGGTTTCGTTACTGCCACATGATCATTAGTCACAACACTGATCATAACCAATTACTGTATAGGCTTTATCACCACACCATGTTTGATGCCACCACATGCCTCTTCGCCACGTCCCCTGGTCATGCACTGTTTTCCTCACCACCAGAATAGTGCCTGTTGTATCATTGTTGTGCATGTTCGTTGCCAGCACATGTTCAGTCGTAAATCTATGACTCTATGGAACATTTTTGTGTTCATGTCTTACATTCATATTATCTCTTTAATTCATCCTCCGAGGCACGATGTGCATGTGTGTTTTGAAATATAAGATATTGAAGAGATATAAATGCATAATGATTATGTATAATGACTTCAATCGACATACAGTTATAGCGCAAAACAAAAGGCACATTAAATAAAAAGACTACAGACCAACAGACAGCAATCACTCTGTAGAACATTATTGAACCACAAAGCGGAAACACAACCACAAACACGTAAGAACCTTCAAGACTTCCAATCAAAATCTACCCATAGTACAAACCTCCACAAGCTACAGCAAGAAAAAGAAACTTGACCAAACCAACAACAATTACCCCAGCTGGAGACCCCAATAGCAAGATACAAACCGGGACAAAAAGAAAAATCTGGAAACAGCTGCTGTTTTCATCACATCGACCATCTCTTCCTTGGACACCATCATCACATAACCAGGACACCATCACAAAATGACCAGGGCACCATCAAAACATGACCGAGACACCGTCACAACATG